CCCTCCCCCCTCCCCTCCCTCCTCTCTCTCTCTCCCTCCCCCGCTCCTCTCACCTCACCCTCTCTTTCTAATTCTCCCTCACGCGGTTTCGTCGATCCGCACGCCCACGTCGTTCCACCTACAACGGCGATATCTCTAGCCAGTTTTATCCCTTGGTTCTTAATCACACAAGCCCCGAGTCCCGAGCACACAGGGGGAAGCGCCGAATGGCCCGAAGAAAATCGTCATTTCTTCCTGTTTCGATAAGGAGCATGGACGTGCTTCGCGCCGCTCGGTTCCTTCTGCTAACTCAGGTTCATCGAGACGAAGCGGCTCCAGTTAACCGTTACGCGAGGGAATGTCGCGGGAAAGTGTGTTTCGTACACCACTCGCTCTGTGACACGTGATATGCCACTAAAGGTTTCGTGTCTCACCACTGTGATCCGATTCTCGAGACGGGAACCTCAAATGGGTTGACGATGTGATCTGCGATGTTTCTTTGCCACAATTGATTTATTTTCTTTTACTGGAGGTAAATTCAATGGGATAATTGTAATTATCCACATCATGGACAAATTAAAACACAAATAACCAATTTCTCATGGACGATGGCTATCAAACGGGTGTACTAATAATATTATCATTTTTCTCACATCCAATCCAATCAAATTATTATCTTTTTTTCATGTCACATCACAAGATTGTCGAAATGTTATTAAAGGAGATATTTTGAGACAATAATAAAGAGCCATCTTATATGATAATAATTATATTGTGTGTTTTATTACAAGTATTACTTATTATCAATAATTAATCGTTACACAATTACACAAATGTATTGAATTGAATTATTAAATTTAACACTAAAGCTCTAAGGTTAATTCTCATATAATCAATTTTCTGTTGAAAGTAGAAACTAGTAATTGAAGTTGAAAGTAGGAACTCGTTTTAATTAGCGCAAAAGGATAAAAATAAAAATAAGTATCAAGTAGCGTATTTGTCATATTGTTACATTTCTCATGATCTTCACTTTAAATCTATTATTTAAATTACAAAATTAGAATTTTTAAGGATTTAAAAAAACAAAAAATTGTTATATCCTGCAGACATAACATTTTTAGTATATACATAACTTTTCTGTTATAGCTCATAACATCTCTTTATCGTGCCTAACTGATATTTGATATCTATTTTTTAATTATTGTATCTCCATTGTCACGAATAAACGTAAAAACCGTTCTCGTGTTTCTGTAGAGAAATTTGAATCCATCAACATCCTACCAGTATCAATCGTTTCGCATTTTCATTGCATTTCACTCTGATCACATTTCACATTCTTCGTGTTCTCGTGAAGGAAATGTAATCCATCTGTATACGTAAAGTAGCATTCTATGTATCTCTGTCATTACATTATCTGTTTATATCATCATCAAATTAGCTACATTTTTTAACACGATGTAACAATATTAGAAAAAAGAAAAGTGGATCTTTTGAAAGACAGTATTTTTGTAATAAAATGAAATAAACTATTATTCAGCCATTTTCATTCTTATTGTATTTTAGATGTAATATAAAATGCTATCAAAACGAAATTATACCCGTGTTCTGCCATTGAGGAATATCTCGCCAAAATTTTTATTTCATTGGTAGCCTTTTTCTTTCCAACGGAATCACATGTTTGTTTCAACTCCTTTTATATTTTATACATTTTTTTTTATATAATAAATAAATTGTTAAAAATTATCCGGTATGAAATCAATTACCGCGATTATATCTTTTTGTAATATATCTAAAAAGTATTTCCCAACTCTGCTACATTTATTTTTAAGGGATTTCATTTGTAGGATTTGCCGTTTCCGGTTGCAGTAATTTACCGTAAAACCCTAAATAACCTAATTATTACCCGGAGATTACAACCGCAAAAGTAGCAAGGAGGAGCAATTATCTAGAAAGAGATTACCCGGAATTTCGTTTTAACCTTTTACCGATATTATGTCCTTTATGCGACAATCATAACGTCATTTTTTTTTTCTAAACTGCGATTAAAATATTCTATTTTCTAATGGCAAGATTAAACTAAAGATTTTTATCGAGATAGAAAAATTGCATTTTCCACGAATGTATGTTTCAAGCGCTTATATGATGAGCTTTAACAAAATTATAGTATTTATGTTTCTATTATGCTATAAGACAATTTCAAAATATTTTAAAAATAAAATTTATGTGAAAATTATATTTTTATATATCAATAATGCATTTAATAAGTATTTTTCTATTGACGATTGACATATTTTAAATTAACATATTTAAATATAATTATACAGAACAGTTATACTTCGCGTCAAATAACGAAAATTCGTAATTACGCTTTAACTTATGAAGATCGTGTATTT